GAATTAAACTGCCTATAATATCCTGTACACTTATTTAAAAATTTAGCACAGCCCGTTACTATGTATCCAGTCTGGACCAGGCAGTTCAGCCTGCAGGTAAATCACCTTCCTTCCCAGGCCCCACAGGGAAGAGAAATGACTTGCAACTATGTAACAGGGTCAAATATCTGTATAGCATGTTTTATATAAAAGTCCTTTCTATGTGCAGTATTTCATTTGATCTTCACAACACTCCTATGAGCATAACCAGGAAAATATTATCTAATTTGCTTTACAGATGATGAAGCTAAGTGACCTTCCCAGTTACTGCATACCTACCAAGAGTCAGAATAAGAACCATGAAATTTTAGGTTAAAGACTTTTCCCTCTAAATTTCATAACTTCTGAGAGTCTAATCTAAACTCAGATATGTTCACCACTTTAGTCACATATTCTTCTTGTTGACTCAAGTTTTTGTCATAGAATATATCCCAACACCTGGTTCTTCATACCATGCCAGTTTCCTATCCATGAAAAAGCCACTAGCATGTAATATTTTGGGAAATTCTTTGTCTCTTGTACAAAAGAACACAAGCAATAGGAAAAGACTCTAGAAAGACCAAGGAAACTTATGGGAAATCAGAAGAAAAGGTATAAAATAAAATATAGTGATGAACTGTATAACCATTGAGCTTTGTCTTTTATGAGATGTTAAAACAGAGGAAACCTGACGCTCTTGAAGACACTTCAAGTCTTCATGAAATCAATGTGGGATGAGGAATGATAGTGAACCAGAATCTTCAAATGCTTGTTTAGAGTTTAAATATGAAATGTCTCCCAAAGACTCGTGAGTTGAAGGCTTGGTCCCCAGTGCATCAAGGTTTAAATGTGGGGCAGGAAATGATTCCAACACAAGGGCTCTAACCTCATCAACATATTAATCCATTTGATGGATTAATTATTTGAATGGACCAGGCATGGTGGCACCCAAAAACCTGAGGTGGGAAATCCCAAGTTCAAAGCCAGCCTCAGCAATTTAGTGAGGTTGTAAGCAACTTAGCGAGAGCCTGTCT